GATTGAATTCAGACAACACAAGGGTTGTAACTATGTAGCGAAGGCTGGGCGAACGCATAAGTTGCGAGCTGCTCAGTCAATAGCATGTGTTCTACTTTTTATTTGGCAAGCTAGACTACCCATAAGTTGGGTAGCCTGGTTCTACGCCGTATGTAATTGTATAGGCTGGTCAGGCACAACAAAGTTGTTGTGCTTGGTCATATGCCTTTTGTCGTTGTTCAGGCAAAGGCTGGGTTCCTCATAAGTTGAGGTAGTCCAGTTCCTTGTGTATGCCGAAAGTTTAGGTTGACCAGTCATAACATGAGTTGTTGTGCCTAGTCATACGCCTTACGTCAATTGTTTAGGCAAAAGCTGACCACACCATAAGTTGGTGTGACTCGRTCTTATGCTTTATTGTTCCAGGCGAGACTATTCACACCATAAGTTGGTATGGTCAAGTCATGAGCCGTCATCATTAAAGCGAATCAGAGTATATGATGTGATACAATTACCTATTGTGAATATTCGTGGCAGGCTGGGCGCCATGAGTTGGGAGATCCAACCATATAAGCCGGTAGCAGACAAAGCAGAGGGGAAAGAAGATTAAGAGTATAAAATGGTGTGGTAACTTTGGGCAGGCTGACTCATCCATAAGTTGGGTAGTCAGTCCTATGTCCTTGATAACACAAAGCAGAKAATTATATAAAGCTTGGATATTTTCCCCTTTCTAAACATAACTGGCGTCTGGGTGGGGATCCTCATGAGTTGAGGTGACCTGACCACTCGTCTGAAGGAAGAAATTGGTTGTGAAACTTATTTATCTGATGTAGTTGTGTTGCGGAGGCCGGACGAACGCATAAGTTGCGGGTTGTTCGGTCATACTCGCTTGTTATTGTTTTAGGCAGGGCTAGACTATCCATAAGCTGGGTAGCCTAGTCATATGCTATATGTCACTGTATGGGCTGGCCAGGCACAACGTAAGTTGTTGTGTCTGGTCATATGCCTTTTGTCGTTGTTCAGGCGAAGGCTGAGTCCCTCATAAGTTGAGGTGGTTCAGTCTTTTGTTTATGCCGAGTGTTTAGGTTGATCAGGTCTCACCATGAGTTGGTGCGCCCTGGTTATACGCCTTATGTCATTTGTTCAGACAGAGGCTTATCACAACGTAAGTTGTTGTGGTAAGTTCTAGGTCTTATGTCCATAAAGTTTAACATGGTTGTATTGCGAAGGGCTGGGCGAACGCATAAGTTGCGCGTTGTTCGGTCGTTCGCGCAAGTGGCTTTGTCTAGGCTGGGTTGGACTATCCATAAGTTGGGTAGCCTGGCTCTACGCCGTATGTAACTGTTTGGGCTGACCGGGCACAACATAAGTTGTTGTGTCCAGTCATATGCCCGTTGTCGTTGGTTAGGCAGAGGCTGACCCCCATAAGTTGGGAGGTTCAGTTTTATGTGTATGCCGAATGTTCAGGCTGACCAGCCTCACCATAAGTTGGTGCGGCCCGATCACACGCCTTATGTCGGTTGTTTTGCAGAAACTAGTCACACCATAAGTTGGTGTGGTTTGGTCTTATGCGTACGTATATTTCTGTTACCAGGCTAGGGCACCATAAGTTGGTGTGCCCTAGTCATATAAACTGGCAGGTCAGTCACATCCATAAGTTGGGTTGGCTGACCCTATGTCTTATGTAAGGAAGGGTAAAAAGGGAATAATGATGGTTTTTGAACGAACTATGTGACCTGGAAAAGAACCATGTGGGATTGTGAGAGATGTTTGCACTTGCATGCTCGTGGGCTCTCACTTGGGACATCTTTTGATAGAGTAGTTGCTGTAGATGCTCGCCGAGTGTTGGAGCCATAGGTAGGTAAGATGAATGATGGGAGGGAAGCTTGGGTTGAGATAGGACTGACTCTGCTGGGGGTTGGGATCAGCGTTGGCTCATGGCCTCATTAAGAGGGCATGTGGACCAATATTGAGCCTAAGTTGTTAAGCAGGGATCAGGAGTTAGTACCAAGTATAGTTTTGTTTTGCACTTTGACTTTCAGCTTTATATAAATCTTGGCAGCCTACTTTTCCTACGGGAAGCGCTGCCGAAATTTCTGCAAAACTGAAAAGAGTTAGTCATATTCAGGTTCCTCGAAATTCTGAAAAGGCATTTTTCCTACGGGAAGCGCTGCCGAAATTTTGAAAAATTTGGAGAGTTAGAATATTTCCAGTTAGACTAATCTGAGCAACTCAACCCTGAGTAGGGGAGGTGTTATTGAACCTCTCAGAAGCTGAGTAGGAGCTTCGTAGAGGAGTTAGGATGTGACTTAGGAGGATTACTCCCTACTTAGGCTAAACGCTGTAGTGAATTTTTTTTTACCTGTGCTGTGGTGCAGGCCGTGCGCATTGATTGAAGGTCTGACTTGGTCAGCCTGACTATTCTTCTGTTATCACTGATAAGGTTGCCGATTCGTCGGTGCACGACTCAACCTCTCATCCTCTTCTGCCTCTCAACCTAATGCCTTGGCCCTGGCTGGTTTTATGCTTTCTTGGGTTTTCACCCAGATTCTTTGTAAATGGCCATTTTATTAAAAGACTGAGTATCTTTGTTTGGAATGGTGGGGAAAAGGTTGGGCTTGTGTGCATAAGGCAGGGTGTGAGTTGCGAAAGGCTGAAAAGTTGATCCTTTTAGTGTGTGTTCTGTTGTTTGATCCTTGTGTGTGTTCACAGGTATGTGTGAAACATGTTGAATGATTGTGGTATTCTGGCTGTATTGAGTTCAGGCGGGCAAGCCACATAACTATTGTTAGACTGTATCATCACTTAACTCTTCGTCTGACTAAGTGTTATGGCATTTGAGTATGTCCCTCGCGTAGCCCTCACATGGCTGCACGAGCACATACTTATACCTTCTATATTCTTGTGTGATTTCAATTGGTGGGACGATAAGGGTCCAGGCGTGAGCCAAAATATCACGAAAACGACGCGAAAAAAAGGTCATAAGGTCGGTCCGCCCTATGGGAACCCCGCGCTCGAGCGAGGAAAATGTTCCGAGCGTTGGGCTGCCTACAGGGCTTGACCTGAACACTATCCACACGCCACCCCATAAACGATTCGTATAGGTGGTGCGCGGTGAGTCATGGGCCAAGGCGAAATAGGAAAAAGGCATAACCTTTCTTACCATTTTCGCGTTGGCCCCACTTACTCGTTAAGTTGAAAAGCCGGACGTATTATTGGGCCAGGGGTTCGAGATCCTTGTCGGGAAGAACCCAAAGTCCAACCCTCTAGCAAGGGATTTTTGCCTGCACACAGGGCATAAAAACCCTGCCCACCGGACCGCCTAGCTTCAAGGGTAGGGGTGCCGCAAGGGCTGAACGGCGTGTCCTTCAAGCCGTTCAATATTGCGAGGGGCGAACCCCCACAATATATTCCTTCAGCCATTCGGTATCGCAAGGATATTTCAGCGACCGCTTGAGTGAGACAACATTGCTGGTCGGTATGGGAAGGCCGAGGACCCGCACGGATTATATCGAATCCGGCACGCGGTGCCAATCGGATTCTCACACCGAATAGTTTATGGATCTGGCACTGAACGTAGAATCGCGATACGGTCAGCGTTGCGGAGATGCGAGGAAGGCCCTCGCGCCCGAGCATACGACGCATTGAGCGTCGGCTCGCTCAAGGGCTTGAGTCAAACCTTAGGAACACGCAGCTCCGTAGCAACTCACCACATCGCATCGAGAAAGCTATCGGGGAGGCATAGGGGCTCAATATGGGTTAGACTAGGTCGACGCCTTTATATCGGGCCTTGTCCTCTTTTTATTTTCTTATGGTTGGACGTTGCAGTCCGTGGCAGCCGTCAAAGTCAAACCCCTTGACTTCTGCAACCACAGGCGTGAAACCTGTGTACCACCCACTCTGCACAGGGTGCAAAAGAGGGTGTGTGGTCCTCAACCGCGCATGGCGGTTGTCTAGCGCAGAGAGATTAACCCTTGAAGCGCTTGTCAGCCGACACTTGAGTGTCGAAAGGGACCCTCAAAATCCCTGAGGGCCTCCTGGACCTGGGTACCACATAGTACCCCATTATTGCAAACACTTGTAAGCACACGCATGACTGGCTGGTATGAGAAATCCGTGCGATCGCACGATTCTTTATACTAAATCAGCATGCGACGCCTACCTAATCTTTGTACCAAAAGGTTATGGGTCCAGTACTAAAGGGACTGGGAGTGTTGTGTTTTTCTTTTGCTTTGGTGCATGAGTGTGTSAACGTGGGTTACTTAAATTTTGCTTTAAGTGGTGTATCGCGTGGTGTGCGTAGAGCGTCCTAGTCGACCGACGTCAAGTCGAGCTTGGGACCTCAGCCCCCCAGTGTCGYCGATTTGCGTACGGGTCCGATTTCGGGCGTTGACCGCGCRTACTCTATGCTACAGCGAACGAGAAACGCCCTCGGTTGGGCCACCTCTGCAATTGCATTATAAAAGCCTTCGCATGTGGTTCAGTAGCTCGGCAGGGATACGCCCACCTAAGGGATGGTGACAGCTCCCGCAGGTGGAGGTAGCGGTGCCTCGCGTTGACTCTGTCTTGTCGTAGGGACTCGCGAGAGGTACGGCTGGCGCACTCGGCCGGAGCGGCAAACGCTCTCGCAATAAGTCCTGCATAATCCTGCGTGACGCGGCCAGGAGGGTCCCCATGCGGGACCGATGCGCTCGACAGCGTGTTGTTTCTCGACACTCGAACTAATCACGAATAAATCACGAATATAAATTAGGAATATAAATCACGAATATAAATCGCAAAAATAAATCATGAATAAATCACAAAATAATTCGAACGAATTAATCACTCAAATAAATCACGAAGAACATGAATAAATCATGAAAGTAAAATCATGAATAAGTGAAAATAAATCACACGAATTAATCACTCGAAGAAAGCACAAATACATCCAGATGCGTCGATATGTGAAGTGGCTCCTTGCTAACGTGAAAGCAATAGCACTACGAAAAGTTAGAGGTCATACGCTCAGGCGAGCAGTATAGCGACTGAACATGGCAGGAAATGCGGTCTGGTTCATGCAAGATAATCCTGGTGTGAAATACCTTGAGAAAGTTTGGAACAAGCAGAGCCAGCGGCGACTGCGGCCGTGCCAACATCTGCAGCTTCCGGTTTTGGCAAACCAGAAAGAGATGACCTCTGAGAGTATCACGGCCATGGCACAGACTTGCTGATTGCAAATACAGTAATTGGAACTCGAATACAGTGCTGTGAAAGCCCTTCCTGCTCCACTTGTCTCTGGCTGAAAGCGCACAAAGGTGGGAGTCCCAAAGCATATGGAGGAGAGGTTCGGGTCGGGAGGAGGAGGAGGAGGAGGAGGAGGAGGAGGAGATGGCAGAGACAGGAGCGGGGGGAGCGGGTTTGCACCGGGGTGGGTAGCGGGAGCAGCAGCAGCAGCAGCAGGAGCCAGAGGAGGAGGAGGAGGAGGAGACGGAGATGACGGAGGAGCGGTCATTGGTGGGGATAACGATAACGTGGACGGCCTGGATGGGGGGAGGGTGAAGATGGTGAAGAAGAACTACGAGAAGAAACGCAAGGATGGTGGAGGTGGTCAGGCCACCGAGAGCGGCGGCGCCGCCGCCACCGGCTATTCTGCTTCTTCTTATTCTTCTTCTTCTGCTGCTGCTGGAGTTGCTATCGGTAGTAATGGCAATCCGCAACAAGGGGAAGGTGGGGGGGGAGCACTAGCACCCTCCTCCTCCTACTACTACTACTCTCCTTCCGCTGGTGGAGCCATCACTCCGTCGGCGTAATATCTCGTTCCGCGGGGTTATCTCGTCGCGTTTCAAGGCCCATCTGAGAGTGTACGTGGACTTAGAAGAAAAGACGTTGATGGAAACCCTAGAGAAACTTGTCCAGGAGGAGAGGTGGGGTGTAGTGGAGGATGGAGGATGGAAGTCAGACAAACATCTTGTCCAGCAGCACGCAGATCTTCCTTCACATCAAGCGAAGTCTAAATGCAGCGCGCTCACTAAGAATCAAACCCTGTTTAATCTTTTCAAGGTATTCCAGCGTGTTCTGCGCGCTTACGCGGGAAAATTGACAGCTAAATTTCCCAAAGCCACCGTCCCTAGCGGTATCATAGCAGCCGCCGCCAGAACAGACTGGCAGCAAGTCAGAGTCTCTGAAAAAGATGAAAAAATGATTTGTTACATCATCAACACGGCTGAGTACTGCCACGAAACGACGGGCAAACTCGCTGAAAGCATTGCTAAGGTAATCGATCCTCAATTCGCTGAGAGAATTGACATGCAAGAAGAGGAAGAAGAGTTCACAGGGGGTCATCACGCGAGCCTTATCTACCTTGGTAATTGGTATGGAGACGAGATTAGACGCAGAGTTACAGAACATGACCAAGGTTCCTTGGGCAAGTTTGGAAGCGGTGGGTGATCAGTCTGGAGACGAGATTAGACGCAGAGTTACAGAAAGTGACCAAGGTTCCTTGGGCAAGTTTGGAAGCGGTGGGTGATCAGTCTGAGTACGTGAACGGCATCAATGCGATCTTCTCGAGCAGCTCACCTGTGATAGCGGGCTTGCTGTCGGGGATAAATTACCTCTTCTTCATGGACAAGCTGGCGGCGTCGTTCGCGCCAAAATTTTACGCGGGAATCTTCAAATGTAAGCGGATTTCGGAAACTGGCGCGCAGCAAATGCTTCTGGACACGCAGGCGGTGAGGACGGCGCTGCTGGAGCTGCCATCCCTGGGAGGCCAGAGTACAGTCCCGGCCAATTACGCTAAGTACGTGAGCAGAGAGATGGGGGAAAAGCGGAGGCGTTGTTGAAGGTGATTCTCTCTCCGTCGGAGACGATTGCAGATACGTTTCGCGCGCTATTACCAGATGGGTCGGCGTAGGATTTCATCAGGATGTTAGATCTGAAGGGATTCAAAAAGAACGAGCAACAACCATTGTTGGAGCCATTCAGTCGGAGCGGTTATGGCGGG